ACTGGTTGCAATCGAGGGAAGGATGAATGCGGCCAAGTACAGGGATATCCTGGACGAAAACCTTCTCCAGAGTGCTCGGGACCTCAGACTGGGCCGAAGGTTCACCTTCCAACAAGACAATGACCCTAAGCACACAGCTAAAATAACGAAGGAGTGGTTTCACAACAACTCCGTGACTGTTCTTGAATGGCCCAGCCAGAGCCCTGACTTAAACCCAATTGAGCATCTCTGGAGAGACCTGAAAATGGCTGTCCACCAACGTTTACCATCCAACCTTACAGAACTGGAGAGGATCTGCAAGGAGGAATGGCAGAGGATCCCCAATGCAGGTGTGAAAAACTTGTTGCATCATTCCCAAAAAGACTCATGGCTGTATTAGCTCAAAAGGGTGCTTCTACTAAATACTGAGCAAAGGGTCTGAATACTTATGACCATGTGATATTTCAGTTTTACTTTTTTAATAAATCTGCAAAAATGTCAAATTCTGTGTTTTTCTGTCAATATGGGGTGCTGTGTGTACATTAATGAGGAAAAAAATGAACTTAAATGATTTTAGCATATGGCTGCAATACAACAAAGAGTGGAAAATTTAAGGGGACTGAATACTTTCCGTACCCACTGTATTTGGGACATTGCTCTTTTGATATTTTAAAAATTCAGCAGTATGGTCTTGGCATTCCCAGGTCCAGAGACTGATGCTGGGATCCTACCCAGGTCTCTTGACGTCATCTTCAGCAGCATTGATGAACGGGTTTTCACTGGGATGAGCATCAAACCTCACCGTTGCCAAGAGTTCCTGAGACTCACCAGGGAGCAGCAGGCTGAAGAAGCGGCGTTCAAGAGAAACCTCTTTAGACAACTGAAAGAGGTAATCTGTCTGATTCTGCTGCACATGTTCAGACAAACAAGGCTGCAAAACACCCGGCAGCCTGTAGCATTGCAGTATAGGCAACTAGAGCTTTAGCAGCAGACAGGGCTGAAGTATGATCACCATAGCTCTACGTGGTAAAATAAGCCTGAAGCATCAAAATATGATTTTGATTGTGGCTAAGCATGAGTGAAATGTGGGCCTTTATGAATCCTATGTAGATGGTGTATTTATTCTGTCAGACGTGTGAGACTGACAAATGAAAAATGTAAATGAAATTCCTTTTGTGTAAATGAGACCTTTGGTGGAGTGTGAAATGTTTGTTGCTGTTTGGGCCTGTGTTTCTTTATTTTGTTTATTTTTTATTAGCGTAGAACCGGTTTTTGTTATTACTCCTGAAGCCCTTTGGACATTGCTCAAATCTGAAAAACAGTAATTCATTTGAAATGGAGGAAGTAATTAACAGTCTGATGCATTTTTAACATTTTCTTCTTTCCTTTTTGTCTTGTAGATTGAGAAGAGCAACGCCAGCATGTTGAACTCCACCAGTAAGACTTCCTGTGTGAAAGTTGTCTGCTCTTGTTTTATATTTCTAAAATTTACTAGGAATGCATTTAAAAATGTGTTTAATTCTGAACTTAAATGATTTTGTTCTACAAAAATGCAATACAGAATGGTTATAGTTGGTGTCTGTACTGTAGTGTGTGTGTGTGTGTGTGTGTGTGTGTGTGTGTGTGAGAGAGAGAGACTACAAGGCAGTGATTTTCATCATTTATCTCTATTGCAGGCTCCTCTGTGCTGGGGATGACTGAACAGGACACAATCAGGCTGGATGTGGAAATGCACACTAAGTTTTCTGTCTGGGTTTCTTTCTGTGAAATCTACAATGAAAGCATTCATGACCTCCTAGAGGTGGCACCCAGTGGCGCCCAGAGGAGGCCCGTGCTGCGCCTGTCACAGGATGTCAAAGGCAACACCTTTGTCAAAGGTCAGAAGGGTTAGGGCCCTGGCCATGTGCCACAATGCTTTAAAATAATGACGAGTTTTAAACACATAATTGAATTGGCAGTACACGTCTATCTATCAAAGTTTGCTGCACTTTCTCTTCATAGTTATGGGAACTTGACAGCCAAACATAGAAACTTCTCTGTGCTATTTTATTGTATTTCTGAATTTTGGTTGCTTTTCTAAATTTAGTATGCATCACATGACCTCATCTGCCTGTTACAGCTGTGCTTGTGAAAGTAGTAAAAATCACACGATTTCTCTCTTTTCTTTTGATCCCATCAAATGTTTACTGAACCAGTATAAATCTAGATGTTGGTTCTACCTGTGTCCAAAAGGTAAACCAGAGATTTGTGTTTGTGCTTTGGCATGTTGACGTGCATTGCTTTGAAAATTATTACAGCTTTTTTTTACCAGAAGGACTGAAACTGAACTGTGTTTGAGTGTTGACCAGCTTTGTGTTGCTAAATGAGCAGCCATGACTTAAATTTATCTTCTAACAGCTTAGCAAGTAACTGGGTTCCTTATAATCAATAAAACTAATTTTATGCTCTACTTGCCCAACATGTTGCTGTTGGGGTCATCGTCCAAACTAATAGAAGCCTTATCGCCGTTCATTAACTCCTCCTGTGAATTCCTTTCCTTTAACTTTTGTTCTTCATATATAAAGAAATAAAAAAGAGGGTGTATCTTTTCTTTTTAAACATCTTTTCTGTTTTTCTACATTTTTAGATCTGTGTTGGGTTCAGGTGAATAGTGCAGAGGAGGCTTATAAGGTGATGAAGCTGGGCAAGAGGAACCAGAGCTTCTCCTCCACCCGACTCAACCAGCTCTCCAGCAGGAGGTGAGGATGACAGCCAGCAGCATTTACACATTTTTAGATGAGCGGTTTCCAAACAGCAACTTAACACTGAGTGCAAAGTGCAACTCGCATAAAAAGTTGAGCTGGATACGTCAGAGCTAAGGCTCAGTTGTATCCCTTTGGTCCACAGCTGTGTTGTTAGAATTTTTAGTCTTTGTGTTTATTTCTCTCAAGAGTCTGTTTGTTCTGTTTTAATACAAAATTACTGAAATGTGTGTTCAGTTGCTTTTTTCTTCCTGTCTGTGCAGTCACAGTATATTTTCCATTCGCATTTTGAGGATTGAAGATGTTGGGATTCCGAGAGTTCACAGCGTCAGTGAGTAAGTGAAAATTGTGTTGTAAGTGTGTAGCTGTCTGGTTGTGAAACATGGCTGCACTGAAAAACCAAAGGCAGGACAATCACAGTAAAAGTTTGCTAAAGCATGAAGTGTTGAACATGAAAGTAAAGCATGTGGTTTTGTGCATGTGGTCAGGTTGCTTCTGTGTGACCTGGCTGGCTCAGAGCGATACACCAAGACCCAGAATCAAGGAGAGCGCTTGAAAGAAGCTGGAAACATCAACACCTCACTGCTCATCCTGAGAAAATGCATTAACACACTTTGACACAATCAGCAGGCCAAGTGAGGACATTACCTGTTTGTCATTCCTTCTCTGTCTTCAGCTGTTTTTAAATCAAAAGACTCACCCAACACACAACTCTCCAACCCTTAGTCTGTTGTGGATCTCCTCAGCCTCCACAGAAAACTGTTTTCTGCAAGAAGAGAAAGATAAATGCTCTGCACACAACATACTTAGCACCAAAGAGCAGACAGACAAAGAGGTGAACATCTAGCAGCTAACAGGCAGATATTTTTTTTCAAAGGTTTGATTTAATTTGATTTTGATTTTATTTATTCTTTCAAACATGTAATGACAGTCAATATGTCAACACACATAATTTCACACATATCCAACAAATGCTAATCCATTATCAATTTGCTTATACCTAGTACATGCTTGAATGGAGTAGGAGGAAGTCAGACTTATCCAGTCCTACCCCATGACATCATCTTACCATCCTTGGTTTGCAAGCAGTATCTCTACATAGATAAATTTGTTCTACACCACACTAGTGATATACTTAAAAAAATTACAGACTGTTACCATTCTTACATAATGACATACTTTGATAATTATCTTCTACATCACAGAAGTAATATATTAAAGAATTATTACAGAGTGTTAACATTCATACACCACACCCACAATGTTCCATCTAATTAATCATTAA